TACAAATTCAATGCAATCCCTATCAAAACACCCATTACATTTTTTAAAGTCCTATAAAAAATACTAAAATTTGTATGGAACCACAGAAGACCTCATATAGTGAAACAATCCTGAGAAAGAACAAAGCTGGAATTATCACAATTCCAGATTTTTATATACAAATCTAGAGTAATCAAATCATTATAGTACTGGCATAAAAATAGACACATAGATCAACAGAGCAGGATAGAGAGAAATATTCTCACTTATATGATCAATTAATGTATGACAAAAGAGGCAAGAATACACAATGGGGAAGAGACGGTCTTTTTAACAATGATGTTGGGGAAACTGGACCACTTTCTTACACTATGTACAAAAATAAACTCAAAATGGATTAATATGACCTATATGTGAGACCTGAAACCATAGAACCCCTTAAAGAAAAAAATCATAATCTTTTGGACATTGCCTTTAGCAACATGTTATGGATATGTCTCCTCAGGCAAGGAAAACAAAGGCAAAAATAAACTATTAGAACTACACCAAAATTTTTTGCACAACAGAGGAAATTACCAACAGAATGAAAGGCAGCCAACTGAATGGGAGAAAATATCTGCAAATAATATATCAAATAAGCTGTTAATATCTAAAATATGTTAAAAATTATACAACTCAAAACCAAAACCAAAACAAAACAAAACCAATCCAATAATGGGTAGAGAAGAGGCAAGTGGGTAACTCAGTCGGTTAAATATCCAGTTCTTGTTTCAGTTCTGATCATGATCTCATGGCTTTGTAAATCCAAACCCTATTATCAGGCTCTTTGCTGGCAGCACAGAACCTGCTTGGGATTCTCACTCTCCTTCCCTCTCTGGCCCCTCCCTGACTTGTGCTGTGTCTGTCTCTTTAAAAATAAATAAGTAAACCTTAAAAAAATGGGCAGAGGAACTGAATAGATTTTTTTTCCCCAAATAAGACATATAGAGATATATGAAAAGGTGCTCAGCACCACTAATCATCAGGGAAATGTTAATCAAAACCATAAGGAAATATTACCTCACATCAATCTGAATAGCTAGTATCAATAATATATAAGAAATAACAATTTTGGAGAAGATGTAGAGAAAAGAAGACCCTTGTGCACTGTTGGTGGGAATGTAAACTGGTGCATCCACTCTGGAAAACAATATGGAGGCTTCTCAAAAATTAAAAATAGAAATATCATGTGATCCAGTAATTGCATTACTGGGTATTTACCCAAGGAAAACAAAAACATTAATTTTCACCCCTATGTTTATTGAGATGTATGCACTCCTATGTTTATTGCAGCATTATTTACAATAGCCAAGAAATGGAACCAAACCCAGTGTTCACTGATAGAATTTTGGATAAAGAAGGAGTATACACATATATACACATACACATAGAAAGAACGGAATATTACTCAGGCATAAAATAGAATGGACTCTTGCCGTTGGTAACCACATAGATGGAACTATAATATATTATGCTAAGTGAAACAAGTCAGACAAATAAAGACAAATACCATATGATTGTACTTATATACGGAATTCATATAATATATAAATTGCCGATGAAACAAAAGCCAGAAACAGACTCTTACATAAAGGGAACAAACTAGAAGTTTTGCCAGATGGGAGATGGGAAGGGGGATGAGTGAAACAGAAAAAGGGGATTAAAATGTACTTTCAATTATAAGATAAGTCACAGAGTTGATAAGTACAGCATAGAGAATATGGTCAATAATGTTTAACAACATTGTATGGTGACAGATGGTGGCTACGCTTAAGGTGAAAAGCAAATAATGTATAGAATTGTCAAATCAATACATTGTATAACTGAAACTAATATAACATTATATGTTTATACTTAAGTTTAAAAAAAAAGAAGATAAAGAAAAAGAAAATGCAACTAAGTTAGTTCCTCCTTGTTATTATGAATATAGTAACCTACATAAAACCTCAGTTTTATATGATGGCTATAGTGAATTATAACTTGATATTGTCATTTCCAATTTAGAATAAAATATCTATTTTGTATTATCTGGGCGAAGCTAAGTTAAGTTTCATCATACACCATTAATTTCTACTAGTCTTTTCTATAGAAAAGAATCTCACTTTGGACATTATAATCACAGTTTTTCCATTATATATTTTCTCTCAGAACAATATTCTTTTTTTAATTAAAAAAAATTTTTTTAGTGTTTTATTTATTTCTGAGAGAGAGAGAGAGGCAGCGTGATCAGGGGGAGGGCCAGAGAGAGAGGGAGACACAGAATCTGAAGCAGGCTCCAGGCTCTGAGCTGTCAGCACAGAGCCTGACTTGGGGCTCGAACCCACGAACCGTGAGATCATGACCTGAGCCAAAGTTGGGCACCTAATTGACTGAGCAACCTAGGTGCCCCTCTCAGAACAATATTCTAATTAAAGAACCAAAGAAAAAAAACATTGAAAAATATACCAAATCAGTAATCAATGTCATTAAATGAAGCAATGAAAACATTATTTATCATAAATATATTGTAAAAATATAAATTGAACACTTCATGTTTTATATGGACACGTAATATTTTTATAATGAGGAATTTAGAATATGGTAAAATATATTATTTTCAAGTCATAAAATCATTGATCAAATTAAGATTAAATCTTTGCTGGTATATATTCATTATTCCTTAGTATTACATTTCCTAATTCTAAAGCAGTATGATACTTTTAGAATGCTGTTTGTGGCATGATTAATGGCTAATTCAAATTTTATAATTCAAAGAACTTGAAAAAGAATAAATATTTGGTAAATCCTTTAAACAATACATGTTAAGATATGTGTTTTATTCAGATCATCTGTGGCTCTGAGAAATTTTTAAAAATTGTAATTCTTGGTTAACTAACTAAATCATACTTATGGCTTCTTATCAGTATTTATGTATGTTATAGAGAATAAATATATACATACTTTAATGATTATTTGATAATTTTTTATAATATTATAAAGGAATATATACTTATATTTTAATGTCAAGGACTGATGCATCTTCAGAGACTTTAGATAAAGTTATTGAAAATTTGTTTATCAGAATGCTGACACAATTATTTGAAAAGTGGCCTAAAATGAAATTCTATATAATGTATATAACTGAAAATATTATTTAAGGTAATGGGAAAACACAATAACATTACAGGAAATTTTAACAAATATTCTTTAGGATACAATCCCCATAAACTCTCTTATTTCTACATTTCAAAAGTAACAATACTATCAACTGGTTTGGATACGGCTATGCAGAATAAGCATAACTATATCATCAATCTTTATTCGAATGCCTGCTAAGTTACAAGCTTCTAATTAGATGATCCTAACGGAAGAGGTAAAATGTCCAAGGACTATTTTGCCTAGTCAAGATGACAGATAAGTAAATAATTTCAGTATGATGTCATGAACTCTAGGACAGATTAGACTACAGGCTATTATGGTAGTACATGAAAGTGTACTTTTTATGAAGAAAGGAAATAATGACTGAAGCCATGTGGAGTGAGTCGTTCTCTAAACTGAACCTTACAGTTGCATGGGAATTGGTCATATGAAAGTGGAAGAAACTGATACCTGCAGATGGAGCAATATACAAAATACCACAAAGACAAAAGGAACGGCACATTCACAAGGGTAAAAATGTGTGCACATCTAGGCAGGATGTCGAGGGAAGGAGAAGCTAAGAGGAGAGCCTGAAAAAGTAGATCCAGGCTTAAGATGTGAGGGGGTCACACTGATAACCACAGGCTTAGAAACTGTCACTATTACTTCTCTAAACCTCCAAATCTTTCCCAGTTGTATGCGGTTGTGTCAGATAACCAGATTTTGTAGCCATATGGAATAAACAAAATAATTTCATACTAGAGTGTCAGGCTGTGAACAGCTGCCATTAAAAATATATGAAAATATGAGGCCGAGAACCACATCCCACTGTCTAGCCCCAGAGCTACACAGATAAGTGGCACTTCTACTAAATGACCTGAAGCATTATCCCATGATCTAAGGAGCATCACTCTCTTATCTGTGCTTTATTACTCAAAAAGCTTCAGATATATTTTGGAGGTAGATCTCTAAATGCAGACATTTAACATGGCTCTCATTTTATCTATTGATAATAATGGCCTGAATGTAAACAAGGGATACTTCCAATGTATTTACTGTGTCCATAGTAAATATAAACCACTCTATTATTTTTTAAAATATTAAAAACAACACTGAAATGTTAACATAAAATGACTATATGTTTGAGTAGCTCTTCTATTTTATATAAGTATGGGGAAAGGAAAGAGCCAAATGAACATTTACATGAAATGGTTAAGTAGTAAACTAATCAGCTACTGCTTCAAGATGTGATGCTCCATTTGGATTTGCAGGAAGTATCAAAACCATGAACATTAAACAACAAATCATTCCTTCAAAACCTGGTTGAGCACTGTTATTATCTTAAGAGAATATGAAAAGTACAGATTCCCAATAAAATCTTCCAAGATAATGACTGATAAAACGGGGTAGAGATCCAATCATTTATATTTCTACTGAGTGCTTCAGATGAGATTGATACCACACACACACACACACACACACACACACACACACAGAGTCATTTGAGAAACACAACTACAGGGATTAGCTTTTCAGCTTAGATCAGCCAGAAAATAAGTTTTATATTTAATGTATACATTAAAATTTTTATTTAGATCAAATTACAGGCAAGGGCTCAGAATTTAGAGATAACAGGGCATAGGTAGTTCTCCAAAATGGAACTAATTGTGTAATAACTATAGTTATAGGCAGTTTTCAAAAGTGATAAATATAAAAGAATGAAAATTTTAAGGTTGAAATAGAATGTTGATATGAACTCTCCCTACTACTGTTTTGCATGAACCCCAAAGTCAAAGAATCTACAAATTATTACAAATATCCCTTCATCCAAAATAAAGGTAAATGTCCCTTTACAATTTTTACAGATTAATTCTGCCTACGTTAGTGACCATCTATGTCCAGAGTATAAAATGATGGGATTGAACTTTGCAAGGAAGATTTCATCAGAAAGTATTGTCACCAGAATAAATTTTTTCTCAAGACCATGAGAGAGAGAGAGAGAGAGAGAGAGAAGAAGAAGAAGAAGAAGAAGAAGAAGAAGAAGAAGAAGAAGAAGAAGCAGCAGCAGCAGCAGCAGCAGCAGCAGCAGCAGCAGCAGCAGAAGAAGCAGAAGAAGCAGAAGCAGAAGCAGAAGCAGAAGAAGAAGAGAGGTTTTTTCCCCTCATACCTCAAGTCAAGAGAAAGAAGGTCATGCAATCTTACAAATAGATTTTTCACACTGCCAGGAGATCTGGCAGTGTGAAATATCCATGTGACAAAGGTAATCAGAAAAAAAATCATGAACTAAAATAAGGCAAACATTTTGGGGGTCATTCCTTTTGGCATAAAATGATGACCAAAAAAATACACCATAATAGTCTAAGGTAATACACTTACTTAATTTTACTTTTTATGATTGAGTTATAGTTTCAGACTAAGTAAAATTTCTTCTTGTAGATTTTCCTACTGTACTGATACAAAGAAATTCTGTCTGGTGGAACAAATTGCTCTGAAGATTTATGGCCTGTTGAGCATTAACAAGTTTTATATCTAACCCAGCAATGCTATACTAATATTTCTTTGTTAAATTAACTGTAAATAATTTAGCTTCTATGATACCTGTTGAACCAATTATAATGACTTAATTTCTCCCTCATTAATTAATGGACTAAATGATAAATAAGATCATATATTGGTTCATTTTATGTTTACATTAAAGTCATGATCTTACCTTTTTGAAAACTACACTATTTTAAGTGTATAGATGTGGCAGATTAAAAAAGGTAACTATATCACAATAATCAAACTCCTCACTGGGGCTGTGGGAAGGGAGATAAACTCATCTGGGAATCATTTCTCACAAGTGAAGAATCAATATGATTTTGTCATAGAGTTTTTTCCAAAGCCTTCATTAATAAGGGATTATATAAAACATAAGATGTATGTTCATTTTATATTAACTTGAGGGTAAAATTTTACTCTTGATAACTATACTTTCGTAGTTTTGAATGATTGAGGAAGTATATCCTGTAAGCTTTTTAAGCCTAATTAAGTCTGTGTTGACTCCCAGAGAGTATTGCAAGCAAAACCCAAAACTTTACCCTTATATCTCTGTTTCTCTGTCTCATTTACTCCAGATTTTTACTGACTCTGACTTTGTGTTTCTGTTTTTCTAGTTTGCACAGTAAGATATTCCTCAATGATGTCAGAGTTCCCTTTAGGGGAAAGATGACAGAGAATTAGGTAAGGACTGGAAAAGCTACTTCATTTTTTTCTCTCAGTGAAGCTATTAAAACAGCTTGTTCCATGATAGTAAGAGAACAATCCATCTTGTTTACCATTGTATCCCAAATGTCTGTCAAAGAGTTTTGCAAGGGGCATTTAATAAATACTTTTTTAGTAAGTAATATTTTTGCTTCCATGAGTCTGTTTAGTTTGATCCTTGTTTCATTTATTATGTTAATTCTTCTGTTTCTGCCCATGAACTGCACCCCCGTTTGTCTTCCATCTGAGTTTTAGTAGACTATATTTTTAACTAAGGGGGTTAACTCTCAAATTTCCATCCTGTGCGACCATACTGAGCTTTCATATGCCACTATATCTTATACAATAGAAGGTGCTAATGTCAAAAATGGCAAAATAGCTTTTGGTAAATATTAAACTCCAGAAAAATTTAATTATAGATAGAACTATACCAACAATAGATTCTGTTTTCTGACGGGTTCTTATCTAAGTGTGGACATATTTCTGTTTAATCTCTGGAATAGAAATATAGATAGACCAATTTGTTTCAATATTACTGGGATATATTGAGCTGTTAGAAAACTGGCAAGATCTCTAATAAATTAATGTTTCCATAATAATATAATGTTTTTGGGAAAATTGATATGGGGTTAGAAAAGAACTGATTAGAAAAATAATAAAGTATAAAATTTTAGGTATGGCAACTAATATATAATCTCTGTATCTCTATTTTATATCCTGAAACCCTGGTATAGTATACTGTGTTTCTAATTTTTCTAAATTATAAATCTAAGTCTTCCCTAAATACTTATTCCTTGAAATCATCACTCTCTAAGTTTTCTCAAAAATTGACAAACTATTCATTGCTTTTTTCCATGTTGTACATCTCTATATTTCTATTAAGATGTACCACAGGACTCAAATGGGAAAGAACATTTTAAAGCTTTTCCTATGACCCAAGCATATCTTTCACTTAATATTGACTTAAGCCTATTTCTGATTAAGGCAAAATGGTGTTAACTAGAATAATGTGCCCCAAGAAGATTAAATGAACAACCATTACAATAAAACCACTATTGTTCACTGTATATATAGAAATCACACTATAATGAGGTAGAAGCAAAGTCATTCACACCTAGAAACATTCTGACACTTCAAAACATGCATATCAAAAGTGAACTTTCTACTTTTTGCCTCAAAGCTGTTGTTCATTTTTGTTTCTTTCTTTCTTTCTCTTTTTTTTTGACTGAGTTCCAAAAAATGGCTTCAAAATGCATTCAAATCCTGGGAGAGATTAATGAGTTCTTACTTCTTACATATTTCATTTTGAAATTCTCCCTGCAAACTATAATCAGAATCCTCTGTTTAAAACCCCAACTATATTTTATCAATTTAGAATAAGATTCTGCAGTGGTTTTTTTAGGATATTTATATGAATAAGTCAAGTTGGCATTGTAAGTATTAATCTGAAATTAATCTCTGGTTGAAAGAGATTAAGAGCTGTCAAGACAAATAATAAGCACCCAAAAATCAAGAAAACTATTAAATAGCAATTAAAATAACTAAACAGTAATATCAAAAAGATGGGCAAACTTTATGAGCCAATGTATTAAAATTTATTTCAGTCAGAGCAGATATCCAGTTTGCAATCACAGCCATTGATAAGTTTGGTGGAAGCAATGGTGACCATGAGTATTCACCTTATATTGGACATAATAATTCCTGGATATCATTAATCAAGTTTAGATAAGCAAATCAAAATGTACTTTGGTTAATGTAACATAAAAAATAATATGCATCAATGTAATATACCACATTTAAAGAATGAAGGCTAAAAACCATATGATCATCTCAATCGGTGCAAATAAAAGCAGGTGAAAAAATTTAGCATCTCTTTGTGATAAAAACTGAACAAAATATATACAAAGGGAACTTCAACATACTATAGAGACCATATATGATAAGCCCACAGCTAAAATCATACTAAATAATGAAAACCAGAAAGGTTTTTCTCTACGATAAGGAACAATACAAGGATATTTATTCTCACCACTTTTATTCAACACAGAATTGGAAGTCTTTGCAAGAGCAATCAAGAAAGAAAAATTAATTAAAATCATTCAATAAAAAAGTTATTATTTGCAGATGATACATGATAATATACAGTAAACTAAAAAATTTCACCAAAAAATTGTTAGAACTAATAAATTCAGAAAAGTTACAGGACACAAAATCAATATACACAAATGTGTTGCATTTCTATACACTATCAGAGAGAGAAATTAAGGAAACAGTCTGATTTATAATTGCATCAAAAAGAATTAAATATTTAGAAATAAATTTAACTGAGATGAAAGACTTGTACCTTGAAAACTATAAGACATTGATGAAAGAAATTGAAAAGAGACAAATAAGAAGATATCCCAAGATATATCTTCTTAGATATAACAAGTCTAACACTTGTATGAAACCACAAAAGACCCTGAAGAGTCAAAGAAATCTTGACCAAAACAAACAAAAAACAAAAAAACCCAAAACAAATCAAACAAAACACAAAAAAAAACAAAGCTGAACACATAATTGAAGAAACTATACCTGATATCATATACATTACACAGCTACAGTAATCAAAACAGTATAATACCGGCATTAAAAAGGGACACATAGATCAATGGAATAGAATGGATATCCCAGAAATAAACCAATGCATATATAGTCAATTAACTACAAAGGAGTCAAGAATATACAATTAGGAAAAGATAGTCTCTTCAGTAAGTAGTGCTGGGAAAACTGCACCACTGTTTTACACCATATACAGAAAACTAACTCAGGGTTTGAAGACTTGAACATAAAACCTGAAACTATAAAACTTGTTTTTAAAAATTTTTAAGCTTATTTATTTGAGAGACATGGAGACAGTGTGAGTGGGGGAGGGGCAGAGATGGAGGCAGAATCCCAAGCAGGCTCTGCACTGCCAGCACAGAACTCAACATGGGGCTTGATCTCATGAAACTGCTGGATCAGACTCTGAGCTAAAACCAAGAGCTGGATGCCCAGGTGACTGAGACACCCAGGTGCCCCAAAACTATAAAACTTCTAAAAGAAAACATAGGCTGTAAGGATCTTGGTATCAGCCTTGGTGATGATTTTTTAGTTGTGAAATCACAAGCAAAGGCAACAAAAGCAAAAATAAACAAGTAGGACTACATCAAACTGAAATCTGCACAGTGAAGGAAAGCATCAACAAAATGAAAAGGCAACCTATAAAGTGGGAGAAAATACCTGCAAATTGTATCTAAGAAGGTGTTAATATACAAAATACATAAAGAAATTATACATCAATAAGGAAAAGTAAACTGATTTAAAAAAATGTGCAGAGAGACTGAATAGACATTTTTCCAAAGAGATATACAAATAGGTAGCAGGTAGTTGAAAAGACATGCAACATCACTAATGATTAGAAAAAGGCAAATCAAAACCACAATGAGATACTATCTCACACCTGTTAGGATGGCTATTATCAAAAAGATGAGAAATAACTAATGTTGAAGAAGAGATAGTGAAAAGGAAACCCTTGTGCACTATGGAGGGGAATGTAAATTGGTATAGTCACCATGGAATAAAGTATGGACACATCTTTAAAAATTAAAATAGAACTACTATATGAACCAGAAAATCCACTTCTGTATAGTTATCTGAAGGAAATTAAAGCACTAAATCAATAAGATATATGCTCTGCCATCGTTATTCTAGCATTATTTACAAAAGCCAAGATGTGGAAACAACCTCTTGTTTGGTGGACATAAGTTTCCCCAATG